TCTCCCGCTCAGCCATGCCATTCTGCTGCGGAGTGTAGGGGCACGTCAGGTCGTGGACGATGCCCTTCCCGTCAACGAAATCGGTGAACGCCTTCCCGAGGAATTCCCCCCCTTGATCGGAGCGAAGCGACAGAACCGACTTCTTCGTCTGTCGTTCCACAAGCACCAGCCACTTCTCGAACTCCCACAGCACATGGCTCTTCTTAGCGACCAGCATTGCCCACACAAATCGAGTATGGCGATCCTTCAGCAGTAGGAAGTACAAGCTGCCATCCTTGGCAGCCACCCGAAATGGCCCGCACAAGTCAATGTGCACGACAGCCAGCGCCTCCGCTGCATCCGAGCCCTTGGCGGGGAAGGTGTGGCGTGCCAGTTTTCCTCCGACGCACGAGACACACGGCGGGTCTGCTCCGGTCGACGACGTGATGTCGAGCCCAGTAGCAACATCATGCTTTGCCGAGCTCTTGATCGTGTCGAAGCTGACGTGTGCGAGCCGCGCATGCATCCTGTTGGGGGTCGTCTTTGTCGCGGAGATGATCGTTCGCAGAGCCACCACCTCGGCCGACAGCGACTGCGTCGAGCAGGGGCGAAGGTCGGTGCAGAGTATCCGTCCGGTGTAGCGAGCTCGACCGAGCACCTCCCCAGTCGCGGAGATGAGCAGCATCTCATCGCCATCTCCCTGCAGCAGCACTCCGCTCTCCTTCAGCTGGCCAGCAGACAACATGTTTGCCTGTACGCCCGGAACGTAAAGTACGTCGGGGATGAGGACCCGCTTCCCGGCCCCCCCTTGCAGAGCGACGGTTCCGCGACCCTTGACAGGCTGTAATGCCCCGTTGAACCCACACACGTGCTTCACCCCGTCGCTCCGCCCCATGTCGACGAAGACCGACTTCGTCCCCATCAGGTGGTGGGAGCACCCGCTGTCGAGCAGCACCGCCATCGGGTTGGCCTGCACGGCTGCCGCCACTGCCTGGAAGTCCTCGCCAGCCTCTGGCGCCAGCGAGGACCGTCGGCTCCACTACGCCGACCATCGAGCACGACGCCTCCCCGTCGCCTCGGCTCTTGCCGCTGGAGCTGTCGACGTCTTTCGTCGACGACGTCTTCTTCGACTCTTGCTTCTCCTTGCGCGGCTTCTCTACTCGACGGGGGGCGACGACTGGCCGATCGTCCGCGGCCTCCCTTGTTGTCGTCCTCGTCACTGTCATCGCGGTCGGGGCACTCAAAGGAGAGATGGTCAGGGTCGCCGCAGATCCAGCACTCCCGCCGTCGACCACCACCACGTCGACCCTTGTCCCGCGTCGACCTCTTCTCGTCGACGTCCTTCGTTGACCGCCCACCTCCGCTACCACCTCCGCCTGGCTTCCCGCGCTTCTCCTGCTGATAATTCAACTTCGTCGGTGCAGCGTAACTCGCCTGCGGAAGGAACTCCGTGGGCTGCTCTGCCTCCTGCATCGCCTCATCCTGGAGAATGTAGCTGGTGATGGAGTCCTCGTCGAGGGACTCACGCGTGCCGGGCACCATCATCATCCTCTTCATGAGATTGTAGATGCGCGGCAAGCCCTTGACGATGTGGGTGATGTAGGACGCCGTCGAGTATTCGGCGCCCGCCATTCGCATCTCAGCCAGGATCCGTCGAGCACGGTTGCAGTAATCCGTCGCCGACTCCTGCTCGCCCATCTAAATGTGAGTCATCTTCTCCTCTAGCTGTCCGATGTACAGGTCGTCCCTGACCTGGTACGTCGACATAATGAAGCGCCATGCCTGGTGACCAGCATCCAGTCGCTCTCGACAGCTCCTGAGCGCCAGCTGCACCCACCGGCGAGCAGCACCTCGAGATGACCATGAAGGTGAGCAGGCGAGCAGAACGAAACTCCCCCGCGCAGCCCGACATCCTCCTCGGGCGGAATTGGCACGGTTGCCGTCGGCGAAGCCCTTCAGCCCGGCGACCTCCAGCTGAGGTTCGATGGACTCTCTCCAGGTGATGAGATCTCGTCGACCTTGCAGCGGAGCGACGGTGATTCGATCCGGCGAAAACTTGAAGTAGCCATACGCCAGTGCAATCCCGCCCGGCGTCACATGCGTCGTCGCCGAGAGCCCGCCACCACTTCGTAGCGGAGAGCGACGTCGAACATCGACGTCGGCGTGCGAGCTGCCTGCAGCCGCCATCGACCACTGCACTCGCGCCTGGATTCCGTCGACACCACCATCGACCTTGATCACTCCTCTCTGCCTCGTGCCTTCGCTGCCGCTGACTCGTGCACCACCGTCAACCTCGTCGTCGACGCCACCTTCGTTGCGCACCGGTCGAGGGAGAAGCAGGACGGGAAGGGTGTTCCGTCGCCCACTGCGACCGGATGCCCAACTCGGCGATCACCAAGGGGATCGTGCCGTACTCGCCATTCGCGTGGCGTCTCCTCGCGTCAGCCAAACGTGCCTCCAAGGTGTCCGTTACACCCGCATCAGCTACGGGGTCGACCATGGCGACTATCGCTGCTGGCGGCCTACAAACGACTTAGTAGGTGCAAAAGTCGGCTCCTATCTGAAGGTCGCGTGTTCGTTCCACGCTCACCGCACCATGCGGAGATAAACTCTACAGCGGTAGTGAGACGGACTACAGGGTTGGCACGAACTACTAGAGGTGATCGTAGCTTTGCTTGGTTCCTTAGTGCTTGCACATTCACGGGAGAAATTGGCAAGAGTTTCCACTAGCAAAGTTGAGAATTCCAGAATGATAGAAGAAGCAATGACAACAATGACTACATCAGGCACCTAGCAACCCTGCAGCTAGCCTGGTCGACCCGCCAGCGCAGCTCGGTCGACCGCCTGCCAGCATTGCGTAGAGGAGCCGCGCCAGCACTGCAGAAGGGCGACCTGCCAACAAAGCAGGTCGACGGCGTGCCTCGTAGAACACAGCAGTGCGCGCGCTCGCAGGTGTGCGCAGGCGATTGGCCCGACTTGCCTCGTTGGGCATCCGTCGGCTGTTGTCTGCGCCTGACGAGCCACATCGACTTCGGGATACCAGTCCAAAGTCGCCTGCGCCATCGCGATCTTGACGACGTTCGCGAGCCTTCGCAGTACTCGTCGAGCAGGTTACTCGGTCGACCTGGTCGACCCCTGGTGCTCTGGTCGACCCCCAGGTGCCTCCGGTCGACCACTGGGTCCCTCTGGTCGACCACCAGGCGCTCCTGGTCGACCACAACTCCCGTCGAGCTACCCCCTGGTCGACGGACCCCTTCCGTCGACCAGAACTGCTCTGTCGACCTCCCGGTCGAACTGTAGGTCGACGGACTGCTTCGTCGACCTCCCGGACGGCCCACCCGTCGCACAAACCAGTCAGTTGCAGCTGTCGAGCTCCTTGGTCAACAGTAACACCACAGTGGTCCGCTGCAGCTCGACGTAACCTGTCGAGCAGCTATCCCACTGTGAACGGTCGGCTGCTACTCCCGTGCATCCGACCAAGTCGTCGGCGTTGCCCAAGCGAGGGCGGGGCCAACACTCTATTCCTGTTAACAGATCGTGGCCTAGGATCTACTCAGGAAGGTTCGCACGCAGAGAAGTGATGTTGGTGGGCCCTTGACCTCAATAGCAGAGAATGTAAATGCTTGAGATGAGTAAAACATGCAAATACAACAAGTATAAATATGAGTACAGCGGAGATGAAACGACCTAGTTAGCCATGTACTCTAAGGGTACATTCCCTTATTCAAATACATTCCCAACCGTGCGGCGCGAACAGTTACGAAACTGTTCCCGCCGAAGCCATCCTGCCTGCAGCTGCCTGATGCTGTCTGCTCCGACGGTTCAGATGCGTCCCAACTGTCTGACGCTTTGAGTCGTTTCCAACCGTCTGACGCTTCACGTTCATTCGCGATATTGCGTGCTTCTCTTTGCTGCGGTGAGGAGTGCACAGCAATATTTAAGTATTACTATTCGTAACAGTTGCAACAGGCCGTTTCAACAAGCAAACATCGCCCTTTTCGAGCCCGAGGTCGTTGCAATTTGACTGCAAAGACGCTAAGAGGAAAACCAGACAGGGGAGAGTCTGGGGCTGCTGTTGTGGGTGCAGCAGAGACTAGCAGCACATCATCCACAGGGGTGATGACAGTAGCTACACTGCAGTCGTACCCTTCACTTCACACACGTCTGTATCTTCTTCCATTACCTATCTCTCCATCCTCCTTTCCTAGTGTCCAAGACCAAGAAGGATGCAAGCAGCAGGGTGGGTTCAGAAATTAGGTGGCAAGAGTAGGGTGTACAACAGTCAAAATCGGAGGGTAGCAATTATATTAAGCAAAGATTTGCCTGAGGCAACAGCCGTAGATAGTGAGGAGCTAGTTCAAAAGGGCTGAAATACAGCACTCCTAACCATGCTTTTTATGCATGCAGTGCTGTGAAACCTCAAGAACAAAACGAAGGAAGTTTTACAGCCCACCAAATTTGTTTAAATAAAGCAAACGACAATCTCATACAAAAGGAAGTAAAAATCAACAGCCCACCAAGGTCACATTGAAAAAACCAGAAGCCCACCATATTTGTAAACAGCCCACCAAACTTGAAAACAGCCCCACCAAACTTGAAAACAGCCCACTAAACACAAGAACGACACTGCTCCGATGCACTCCCGAAAGGCGGGGAATGAAACCAACGAGGAGTAAAAAGGTAATGGCTTCTCATCAAGTACAGCAGGTACAGCTCCTCTGCCTTCCTTCAGCTTGACTTGAGGCCTTCATCAAGCCACCCTTCAGACGCAGCTTTCCTTCAGGACTTGAAGTATTCAGCTGCAGCTTTTTCGGGGAAGGGCCCAGCAAACTCAAGCTCGCATTCCTGCATTCAAAGGACGATGATTGGCAGCAAATGAACCACAGGAACCAGAGAATTAGAGAACGAGTTCCAGGAGAGAATGAGGGATCTGTACTAGAAAATAAGACAGGAAAAACGTTGTGCTCTTTACCAGGGTGATTCACCCTTTGTATGCTGAATGAATCAAGTTTGAGGCAAGACTAGATACAAAGATAGAGAACAGGGGTGAGAGACAGGAGGGGGACAGGGTTGAGAGAGGACAGGGGTGAGAGAGGACAGGGGTGAGAGAGGACAGGGGTGAGAGAGGACAGGGGTGAGAGAGGACAGGGGTGAGAGAGGACAGGGGTGAGAGAGGACAGGGGTGAGAGAGGACAGGGGTGAGAGAGGACAGGGGTGAGAGAGGACAGGGGTGAGAGAGGACAGGGGTGAGAGAGGACAGGGGTGAGAGAGGACAGGGGTGAGAGAGGACAGGGGTGAGAGAGGACAGGGGTGAGAGAGGACAGGGGTGAGAGAGGACAGGGGTGAGAGAGGACAGGGGTGAGAGAGGACAGGGGTGAGAGAGGACAGGGGTGAGAGAGGACAGGGGTGAGAGAGAGGACAGGGGTGAGAGAGGACAGGGGTGAGAGAGGACAGGGGTGAGAGAGGACAGGGCGTGAGAGAGGACCGAGGCGAGATAGCAAAAGGGTGAGAGAGGACAGGGGTGAGAGAGGACAGGGGTGAGAGAGGACAGGGGTGAGAGAGGACAGTGGTGAGAGAGGACAGGGGTGAGAGAGGACAGGGGTGAGAGAGGACAGGGGTGAGAGAGACAGGGGTACAGGGGTGATGAGAGAGGACAGGGGTGAGAGAGGACAGGGGTGAGAGAGGACAGGGTGAGAGAGGACAGGGGTGAGAGAGGACAGGGGTGAGAGAGGACAGGGGTGAGACGAGGACAGGGGTGAGAGAGGACAGGGGTGAGAGAGGACAGGGGTGAGAGAGGACAGGGGTGAGAGAGGACAGGGGTGAGAGAGGACAGGGGTGAGAGAGGACAGGGGTGAGAGAGGACAGGGGTGAGAGAGGACAGGGGTGAGAGAGGACAGGGGTGAGAGAGGACAGTGGTGAGAGAGGACAGGGGTGAGAGAGGACAGGGGTGAGAGAGGACAGGGGTGAGAGAGGACAGGGGTGAGAGAGGACAGGGGTGAGAGAGGACAGGGGTGAGAGAGGACAGGGGTGAGAGAGGACAGGGGTGAGAGAGGACAGGGGTGAGAGAGGACAGGGGTGAGAGAGGACAGGGGTGAGAGAGGACAGGGGTGAGTAGGGGTGTAATCGGCGTTCACATACGCAAAACACAAGAGACAGTTCAACCAGCAGATGCACATGTGACTTCAATTGTACGTACCTATTAAGGACTCCACTGATCTATCCCACCATGACCGACAGGATCAAAGTTTGCAATCGCAAAACACGCGCCACAGTTGAGCAGGGACATGAGGGAAGAGTCCTGGCAGTGCAATTCGATGCACTCCTCAGTACTTGGACCTGAAAGGAAGTAGCAACACCAATAGGTATAATGGCATTAGGACCTGAAAGGAAGTAGCAACACCGATAGGTTTAATGACATTAGGACCTGAAAGGAAGGAAGTAACAACACTAGTACTTGTTGAAGGAAAAGGTACGGTGCTACTAGCACTGGAAAGGGAGAGAAGGGAGCGAGAGAGAGGGAGAGGGGGTGACAGAGAGGAAGCGAGAGAGAGGGGGCGAGGGAGAGGGAGGTTTAGGGGAGAGAGCGGAAGGGAGAGCGAGGAAGATACAGAGAGAAAATGTGCAATTGTAGGGTGGTAGACTGCACTTACAAGTCCCAATACCGTCGAGATTGACACATACTGCACCGTCGCACTGTGTGACTGCGCATGTTCCTGAGAAAGAGAGAAAGAGAGAGAGAGAGAGAGAGAGAGAGAGAGAGAGAGAGAGAGAGAGAGAGAGAGAGAGAGAGAGAGGGGCGGGGGGAGGGGGAGAGGGAGAGAGTGAGAAAGTCGGAGGAGATGAGAGAGGGCGAGGAACGTGAACTACTATGACTGGGAAAGGGGACATGAGCGTGAGCGCTTGGCAGAATTTTGAGTCGACTCAAAAGTCACTTTGAGTCGACTCAAAGGAAAGGGGACATGAGCGTGAGCGCTTGGCAGAATTGGAGGTATTCTGCCAAGCAGTGCTGCAAAGAACAAGCACACTACGCACCTGTGCAAATGCCGTTGTGCCGCGTATATCCTTTTGCGCAGTAACAGACCGCACCATCATTCTTGTCGACACATACTTCAGTCTCGGAATTACAAGGGTATGACTCGCATGTCCCTGGCAGAAGCGAGGGAGAATGGAAGGTAGTTTTGAGAGTGGGGTATAGAGAGACAAAGAGAGCATAATTTAAAACGTGGGATATAGAGAGACAAAGAGAGCATAATCTAAAATGTGGGATATAGAGAGACAAAGAGAGCATAATCTAAAACGTGGGATATAGAGAGACAAAGAGAGCATAATCTAAAACGTGGGATATAGAGAGACAAAGAGAGCATAATTTAAAACGTGGGATATAGTTTTGTGCCATACAGAGAGCTGGTTAGACCGTGTAGAGAGATGGGATGGATCCAGTTAAATGAAGACCGATGAGCGTGCAGGGAAAATGCGAGGCAGACAAAGATGCACGTACCTTTACAATTCGGCGGCGCGCCTGTGTATTCGGGCTCCCTGCAAACGCATTGTCCACCGTAATCCGTTTCTTTGCAACGTTCCAAGGGGCCACACTTCGTGAATATGCATTGTGCTGGCAGTTGTTGGTTGGCAAAATCATCAACGAGGGAGAGGGGAGGGGGAGGAAGAGAAAGAGAGAGGAAGGGGGGAGGGGGGGGGGGGACGGGGGGGAGGCGGCTGAGGGGAGAGTGTCGGCAAGAGACAATTGCTAGACACGGCATCCATTAGCAGGGGTTCTTGCAATTTAATGGACTTGGTACAAACAACTTCTGAATCACATGATGGACTCCTCTCCTTCTGTTCCGTGCTCTCTATACTAGCTTGTACGATACAGAGAGCGTGTGTGAGAGCACAGTGCGTGAAGGTGACGACATGCTACGTACGAGGGCATGTGTGAGAAGGAGTTTTCATGTATCCAAACTTGCAGTTTTGAGACGTCTCAGAATACGTACGCGCGCAGGTGCGATAAGGAGTTTGCATGTATCCGAACTTGCATCGGCAGTAAGACGTGTCTTGCCTCTCCACACACTCCTCGTTGAGACCACACACTCGTATTGAGCACGGCGCTGGCAGATGGTGGGAGGATCAATGGGGAGGAGAGGGAGAGGGAGAGGGAGGGAGAGAGAGAGGGAGGGAGAGAGGGAGGGAGAGAGGGAGAGAGGGAGGGAGAGAGGGAGAGGGAGAGACGGGGGAGGGAGAGAGAGGGAGAGAGAGGGGGACGCTGGCACATGGTTGATTTGAGATGCTACCTTGCCCACATCGACCACGGGTTTGCATAGGCATCGATAAAGAAACGACTTGAGAGGGGAGAGAAGAGGACAATCCAGGGGGAGAGAAGAGGAGAAGTACTTACGCTTGCAAAATCCTGGGACCCCGAGATATCCTGGCTTGCAGTTGCACGTTGGTCTGAGGTTCACCATCTCGCATACTTCGTTTTGACCGCATTCATAGACTGCGCATGTGGCTGGTAAGTGGGAGAGAGAGGGGAGAACGAGAGAGGTGGTGAGGGATAGTGAGGCGAGGCAGGGGAATGGACGGTGGTAGAGGAAGGAGGGTAATAAGAGGGAAAGAGAGAGATAATATGCAAGGAAAGTGAGAGGGAAAAGATAAGAGGAATGGTAAGCCAAACATACTCCATACCATCACAGTATTTGCCTCGCGCGACGTATCCTGCAGCGCATTCGCAAGTCCCAGCGCCTCCGGGGACTTTCTCCACACAGTGTTGGTTAGGCGGGCAGTAGAGAGCATTGCATGTTGCTGCACGATGGATTTGGTGATTGATTTGATAGGGAGAAGTGGGAGAATGAGACGGGGGAAGAGGAGAGAGCATGACAGAGAGGTTATGACAAACGAGCAAGATAGGCAGCGATACGAGTGACAATGAAAGAGAGAAGAATATCAATTATAGAGAGGCATTGCATAGGAGGGAGAGAAAGAAAGGCAAAGAACGCATGTGAGTTAAGAGAATAAAGTGAAAGAACAAGCACAGCACATACCAGCACACGATCCCGCCTGGCCGACGTATCCGCTCCTGCATTTACAGGTCGGCACACCTCCTACCATTGCACATTCTTCCAATGGTCCACAATTTATGGCTTCACAGGTGTCTGTTGGATGGATGGAGGGAGACAGGAGATGGGAAGAGGGGGAGATGGGAAGAGGGGGAGATGGGAAGAGGGAAGATGGGAAGAGGGGAAGATGGGAAGAGGGGGAGATGGGAAGAGGGGGAGATGGGAAGAGGGGGAGATGGGAAGAGGGGGAGATGGGAAGAGGGGGAGATGGGAAGAGGGGGAGATGGGAAGAGGGGGAGATGGGAAGAGGGGGAGATGAGAAGAGGGGGAGATGGGAAAAGGGGGAGATGGGAAAAGGGGGAGATGGGAAGAGGGGGAGATGGGAAGAGGGGGAGATGGGAAGAGGGGGAGATGGGAAGAGGGGGAGATGGGAAGAGGGGGAGATGGGAAGAGGGGGAGATGGGAAGAGGGGGAGATGGGAAGAGGGGGAGATGGGAAGATGGGAGATGGGAAGAGGGGAGATGGGAAGAGGGGAGATGGGAAGAGGGGAGATGGGAAGAGGGGAGATGGGAAGAGGGGAAGAGGGAAGGTGGGAAGAGGGGGAGAGGGGGAGAGGGGAGAGAAAGCAACCAACATCGCCACTAATGCAATGACCTTTGGCAGGGAGCATGCTGGTGTGGATGTGGCATTGGAGCAGGAAGGGATGAATATGTGGGTCAGCCACGCAAGTGAGGCAGCGAAGTGGAGAAGGGAAACGCAGGAAGGAGCAAAATGACAGAAAGAGGACATCAGGAGAGGGGAGAAGGGTCAGGGAGTGGAATGTGCACGAGTGAATGATAAAGGGAAGGCAACGGGTCAAGTACCAGGACCCTTCTTCTGGCAACGGTAAATGAGAGCATCAGGACTTGGATATATGGACCATCACGTACTAGGGCAGGCTTGAATGCTCATCTGGGAGTTCCAAACACAGTCACGAGGACAGTTAGCCGGGCAGTTAACTGCAACAGAATCCAAGAGGGATAAAGAGGTACAGGTGCAAATTAGCAACAGAATGAAAGCAAGACGATCTGCTTTGCTGCCAAAGCAGACAATCTGTCTACCTTCTCTCAATCACCAGCAATTGTCTAGAAAAACCACATCTGCCACGTGACTACTCCCCATTTGCCATGTGACCAACAGTGGCTAGATAAGCAACTTCACCTCGCCTTTATCACAGCGATCAAGAGTAACCATCCTCATTACTCCCCAATGGATGATCATTGGATGGACGATGATTGGATGGACGATGATTGGATGGAACGTGTGTAAGTTGCCGAGCAAGCGCACCTTTCTTACAGACCGGATAAAGTCCAGATGTGTCACAAAGGTATCCATATGGACAGGGCATGGCCGGGCATGATACTGGCAGATGGAGGGTGGAGATTGAGTATGATGAGAGGGAGAGAGGGGAGGGGAGCACGGGTAGGCAGGGAGGGGAGGTGGACAGGGAAGGGGAGATGGGGGGTTTGAAGAGTTCATATGGTTAAACACCAAAAGGTTAGCTTTGATGAACACCACACCACAAGGCCAACAAAGCTTGTTGGGCCATGCCTCAGACCCAGAGAAATAAAAACAGAGATAACGGGGATAGGGAAACATAGAGAAAGAACTGCCACGGGTTTTTTTTAATCCATTGTACGTACGTACGTACGTACCTATGCAATTTCCTGAGACTGGATCCGGTGTGTAGCCATCGTTGCACTTGCAGTATTGAAAGGGCGGATTGTTGTTCCACCACCACCAGTTGTCATATTTCTCAACGCAATTGCCATCACCACAGTTGTCAGTGGTGCATTCGTCACGAAGAAAGTCTGGACACAGATGGAGAGAAGACAGGAGTGTGTAAGCAGGTCAGGCATGCGGGATGGGACACCCACCACCTTCCATAAATCAACAGAGGCAAACCAGCAGGTGTTTTCTGAGTCCTCTGAAAATCACCTGCAATCCAGCAGGGGGAATGGTACTTATTCAAATGGGATTGGCTTGAAAGACACATCAAACTTTTCCTGATTGCTCAAACTGAGCTGTGGTAGGTGTTTTGAGTCGACTCAGAACACGACTCAAACTGAGCTGTGGTATTGTGCAAGCGCACGCCATATATATACAGGCCACGAACATATCCAAGCAAGCAAATTATTTCCGTGAGCCACACAAACCTCATTCACACCACTGCTTGACTTCGGATGAACCTTGAGAAAGAGGTGAAGGAGAGGGGGAGAGATGAAGATGGTGAAAACGGAGTACAGATACCAGCACATTCGTACGAAAATCGTAGCACAAAGGACAGCACATAGGTACGAAAATACCAGCACAAGTACGAAAATACCAGCACAAAGGACAGCACATACGTACGAAAATACCAGCACAAGTACGAAAATACCAACACAAGTACGAAAATACCAGCACAAGTACGAAAATACCAGCACAAAGGACAGCACATACGTACGAAAATACAAGCACATAAATACGGAAGCACCAGCACATAAAACACCAGCACATACATACAGACATACCAGCACAAAGGACAGTAACACATGCGTACGTACCAGCACACACCCGGTTCTGGCAATAGTATCCAGCCACACACTCGCATCTTCCAGCGATCCCGTTTGGGAGGTCACGTAATTAAAGTGTATTTTTGAGACGTGTCAAAAGAACATATGTACGTACCAACACACTCCCCGTTCCGGCGATAGTATCCAGCCACACACTCGCAGCTTCCAGCGATCCCGTTTGGGAGGTCTTCAAAGCATTCTTCCAAGTCACCACACGGCTTTGGACTCCACGGATCGGCCAGAATTTTGCATGTGGCTGGCAGATGGTTGGTGAGAGGGGGTATGTGGGAGATTGGATTGTGCACAGGTAGAGAGAGAGAGAGGGAGAGAGTGAGAGAGAAAGAGAGAGAAGGGTGGGGGGGGGGTTCTGAGATACTCCCTCCCTTCTCAAATCTCTCCTATCAAAAGCAATTACAGTGCAGTCTCAGCAGGACCCGTGGGCCCCACACTCTCGGCATGACCCATGGGCCCCACACTCTCGGCATGACCCGTGGGCCCCACACTCTCGGCATGACCCGTGGGCCCCAGCATATGCTGCGTTGCGGCAGACCTAGGTTGCGGAGGGTGACAGGGAGGAGGGAGAGTTTCAACCAAGCAACACCCCCTACCCCTCCTATCCTAGCGACAGATTGGCAGAAAGGAGGGGTAGGGGGTGTTGCTTGGTTGGAAGTACTCTTGTGTAGTCTGGGGGGGGGGGGGGGGGGGGGGGGGGGGGGGGTCTGTCATAGGCAAGGAAAAAAGCAAGAGGCCGTGTGGTTTATGGCATATGAGTTGCTTCGTTTTGTCTAGCTACATCAGTCTTACTTGCCAACGCTTGTACCCGTTTGCCTATTCTAAAACATGACTGCTTGAGAGGAACGAAGGGAGACTGGCATAATTGAAAAAAAGCATACGTACGGGCACAAACGTGTGTCTCTCTGCGAAGGTACCCGTCCTTGCACACGCATTTAGCATGGGTCCGTTTTTCCATGCTTGGAGGAATGCAGTCTTCTTCTGGGCTGCAATTCACGTCAGGGTGATCACATGTTGCTGGAGGATGGATGACACGAGAGGGGAGGGGGTATGCAGGAGAGAGGGAGGTGAGCACGTGTTCTCTAGTGGCGTTCAGCTGTTGACATTGCACATGTCAGCATGCAGTTTGGACTGAGCAATGAATTCTTAGGAGTTAACACAAGTTTATCGTATGGAATTGGAATTGGAATTGGAATTTGGACGGCTGCAAGTTGTAGGAGTAGTGGGAAAAACAATACAAGTCTAGTTTTGAGGCGCCTCAAAACTAGTAGTGGGAAAAACAATACATTTGTCGGAAGACTTCCCGTGCAAAGGCAGCTCAACCATTTCCTGTACTCCCATGCACAGCAAGTTGACTTTTCAGTCGACTCAAAAGTCAACCCCGTGCAAAGGCGGCTCGACCATTTCCTGTACTCCCATACACAACGTACCGAGACAAGATCCAGGCTCGCCAATCATGTGATCGCCACATGTGCAGGTAATATCGTCGCGACAAACGGCTGGGGGCCAGCACCACCTTTCCCAGCACTTATCTGGCAGATGATTGGTGGGGAGAGGACGGGAGAGATAGAGAGGGGGAGAGCTATCAATTATAGCTATGGGGCACATCAGGGATGCTTCTTGAATAGGAAGAGAAGGGGGAGTGAAGGGGAGGGGGGAAGAGAGAGCGAGGGAGTTCACATACGCACCGATGCAAGTCCCATTTGGCAGCTGGACGGTGCCGTCCATAAAGCAAATGCAGATGGCTTCTAGAGTGACAGGGTCATGCTCGCACACTCCTCGCTCACCACAGTCCTTAGTTTCGCAGTCATCTGATAGAGAGGGATGGAGGACATAAAAAAGGGAGAAAGGTAGAGAGAGGTGAAGAAGAGAGTGCAAATTGGGGGAAGATGGCGAGAATGGGGGATGAGAGGTAGAGAGGAAGGGGATGAGCGGGGATGAGCTTTGAGGAGCTACAAAACTACACGTGTGATCTGTCTCTTACCGAGGGTGAAGGAGGGAGGAAGCACCAAGTAGGCGTCACGAAAAGCAAAGGAAACCACCAATACACACCTCTGCAAGTGCCATCAGATTGCATGGTAAAGCCGGTGCTGCACTGGCAGGATGCCGTTCCAGATACAGGGTCCTTGGCACACACAGCCGAGTCATGGCATCCCTTGAAATTGCAGTTATCTGACAGGGAGGATGCAAAAAACAAAAGTTGGGGTGGGGATAGGCAAGTAAGTACCATTTGAAGAGGAAGGAAAGTAGTTTGGAACACCCCAAAGCTCTATCTCACGGTACTATCAGGAAATGCACGGCCTGGGGGAAATGCACTTTGTGTGAAATTTTTGCACGCAAAAATAAAAAAGTTCAGATAATTTACCAGTATTGATGATGGCAAGCGTGGAATGCAACGGAAAAGAGGAAGGCAAGCAAGAAAATGCACGAGAAAGAGGATATGAAGTAGAGCCATTCCAGCCGCCCTGAGCTGAGATGCCTCGAAATGTTACGTACCAGCGCAATACATGTCTTCAGCAACGTCTCCAACGCAGCTAGAACCAATGGCACATCCCGTGACGATGCATGATGCTGGCGAAGGAATGGGGGAGGAAGAGAGAGGGTTCAGAGGGAGGGGAGGGGAGCAGAGGGGAAGCAGAAGGAAGAGGGGGGAGTGGCGGTTGTGCATTAAAACATAGGACCATTTGAGAGGGAGGGGGGAGGAGGGAGGGTAAGGGGTGCTTCCATTGCTAGAGGAGGCGAGGGGTGGTGAGACTGAGAGCGAGTATTGAGGATGGGGTAAAGCAAAGGAGGCCAAATATACGCACCAGCACAGGAGTTATCCGGTAGCATGTAGAAACCATTGTTGCAACGGCAGGTTTTGGTTCCACTCTGCTGGTCCGTCTCACATGTAGCATTGGGACCACAGAGATCGCAGATTTCTGACAAGAGGGGTGGCAATAATGAGAGATAATGAGAGAGAGGGTGAGGATAATGAGAAATAGGTTGCAGCAAAAGAAGACACATGTTAATGATACACACGTGCCACGCAGCCAGCATATACATTTTCGTACCAATGCAATTTCCAGACACATTTCTGAAGCCCTGCTTGCAGATGCAGAATGCCAGGTCACGCTTGCCCTTGACACACGTGGTGTTGGCACCACATCCCTTCACAACGCACGAGTCTGGAAGGATGATCAAAGAGGGGGAAGAGATAGGCGAGAGGTAGGGGGGACTCGCAAGAGTGTGAGCGATCGGGATGGGAAGTCGGGTGGAGGAGAGAGGGAAGGAGAGAGCGAAGGAGAGTGGGAAGGAGGGAGAGGTTGGAAGTTGAAACGAGCAGAACGGGTGAGGCATAAAACAACATTACCAATCCATCATAATGGGTGATTAAATAAGGCAGGCTCTTACCCACTGCCACAGGCACACCACCCAGCCATGCAGCGACTCCAGCCACGCTTACCCTCGCAGCCATCACTGGGAGTCCTGGTGTACCCATCGTTGCAGCTACACATGTCACTCCCTGTTGCATTCTTGAAACAGAAGGCATTTGCTTCACAGTTGTTCACAGTGCATTTCTCTGAGGGGAAGGGGGAAGGGAAGGGAGAGAGAGAGGTATTGAGTGTTGCCGGTTTGCAAGCGAGACTCGCACTCAAGGCACGAAGGGAGACGACGAGGAAGCCAGCTGTATCTCGAGTTCCTTCCGATAGGCGAGTTCCTTCGATAACTTGCCAAGCAAGCAGCCAAGCGCCTTCTCAATGCGTACCTGAGCAGCGGCTCCGCAGCTCGCCCACTCCACCTCTGAAGGCCGCGGTGGGCCTGTAATGTAAGGTACAGCCGGGGCGTAGGCAGGCAGGCAGCATCGTACTACGGGAAGACCGGTGGCATAGCAGGAGAGCAGTCAGAAGCTCCCAACAACGATAAAAGATTTGTTTTGAGACGTCTCAAAACATATCTTTTATCTTTGGCATAGAAGGAGAGCAGTCAGAAGCTCCCAACAACGATGGATGGCCCAGCCCAGCGCGTGGTTGCACCAAAGTTTGCTCTCCCTCCGTCCCATGTATTGAGACGTCTCAAAACATCTCTGTCTACACATGGTTGCTTGCGCCGAAGGTTGTTCTCCCTCCGTCCCATGTACTACTGATCAGAGGCAGCAAGCCGTCGGTGGTGTGGCATGCGCCAGAGGGGCAGCAAGCTGTTGGCCTCCATTCGAAGGTACGGCAGGTGACGGGGCGGGGGGGGCAGTCCCATGGCGATAAGTGGTTGTTTGTTCTCGACAGCGAGAGCGCGAGAGAGCAAGAGAGCGAGCGGGCACGCACCAGTGCAAGTGCCAGTTGGCGACATGATAAAGTTGTCGTTGCATCCGCAAATAGCCGCCTTGCAGAAAGAGTTGGGGCCACAGTTGATGTGATTGCAGAGATCTGCAAGGAGAATCGGAGGAGGTTTGAAAAGGCAGTTTGCAGAAGGTAAATGAGGTCAGTCAGACTTGGGAATTGAAGTACGAAGAGAGAGGGTGTGAAAGAAATGGCGCCATCACATACCAGTGCAATGGGTGCCGTTCCATGGGTAGCCAGCTTCACAAAGACACTGCACACCAGCTTCACAATAAGCATGCACGGGGCAATCACTGTTGTCGACACACACTGAACGTAGGGAAAGAGCAGGGAGAGAGAGGAGGCAATGGGAGATGGGATGACGGGACGGAAGGAACAGTTTAAGGGGGGCGTGCAATATCGAGCGATCAAGGAGATACTGTGGTTGGGAAGTGATAGGGTGGTTGGGAAGCGATGGGGTGGTTGGCAATGGCATGGCATGCACCAATGCATGTCCCCAAGTGAGTGAGGCGGCAGCAAAAGCAATCGCAGAGCATCACTTACCAAGGCATGAGGCATCATCTGACTGGAAACCAGCATTGCATTTACACACTCCCACGTTTCCAGAAACCTTGGCGCAAGTGGCATTCACATGGCAATCGTTCTTTGTGATGTCGCACGCGGCTGCACAGGAGGGAAGCAAAGAGAACGTGGCCAAGCGGGATTCATTGAAGACATCACAAAAGAGTTGAGCATAGAGACATGTAAGGGTTGCAAAAAGCAGGGGGAGACCAACAGAGCAGGAATCAAAAGCACATGAAAGGATGGTCAAAGGGGCGGGCAGACAGAGATGAGGGGTGAGGGGCCGGGGGACGGGGGAGGGGAAAGGAAAGGGATCGAACAAGCACAACGTACTGACACAAGAGCCAGCCACCCTGACGGTTCCATCTATGCATTCACAGGTAATACTGCCTTCATTAGGGACACATTGCTCCCCCTCGCCACACACCTTCACCTTCTTACCGACACAAGAACAAGAACAACGTACCGACACAAGAACAAGCACAACGTACCGACACAAGAGCCAGCCACCCTGACGGTGCCATTGATGCATTCACAGGTCGGACCGCTTTCCCGCGGGACACATGCTTCCGATTCGCCACACCTCGTGTTATCACATGATTCTGCACGCAGGGTGGGAGAGAGACACACACAGAGAGAACAAACGTGCACTTGCATGCACATTCGTGGAGCCACACTGGCAGGCACAGATTGCAGCACCTTGAGCAGCCATGTGCGGAAGGATGAAGGCACCTTGAGCAGCCATGTGCAGAAGGAGGAAGGCACCTTGAGCAGCCATGTGCGGAGGGGAGGGGACGCTGCCAACTAGGGATGAGCAAAAAAACGAACACCTGTTCGGTTCGCCTCGAACGTGTTCGAGACGAACCGAACAGGTTTTTTTTTTGGCATAAAGTGGTCGCCGAACAGTGTTCGAGGTTCACCCAAACACGTTCGAGGTTCGCCCGAACACGTTCGTGTTCGGGCCGCTGCTTCAATTTGCCCCTAGACGAACACGAACGTGTTCAAGGTTCGCCCGAACACGCCTTCATAGGCGAACGGCGAACACCTGTTTTTGCTTAAGGTGTTCGCCGAAGCGAACAGTGTTCGGTTCGCCGAACAGGGGTGTTCGTGCATGGGCGAACGCGAACACGTTCGTGTTCGCCCCTTGTTCATCCCTACTGCCGACAGAGGAGGGCAGGAGAGAACGCACATGAAGGAGAGTACAAGACACGGGCAGAGAGAGGAATTGAACAACGTACCGACACAAGAACCACCAACGCTGACGCGCCCATCCATGCATTCACAGGTCACACCACCGGCTTCATTAGGGGCGCATATCCCCCCTTCGCCACACACGTTCGGCACATCGCATGTTTCTGGAAGCAGGGGGGAGAGAGTACAGACAGAGGGAACGGGTCTGGCAACCGGGACAGCCTCCCACCAGCCTCCCACACTGCTATGTGTGAGCAGGAGCTATCAGGGCGCATGTTGCTATGAGTGAGCAGGAGCGCGTGAAAGAGAGTGTGGGGAGAAGGAGCGAGGGGCATGTATGGACACAAAGAAGCACACCACGTACCAACACACGATCCAGGCTCCCCAATGTATCCAGGAGCACATCTGCAGACTGACTCGCCGTTGACGCCGTCATTTTCCATACACATTTCCCTAGAGCCACACTTCAGAAGCACGCACGATTCTGGTACATGGTCAGGGGAAGAGCGAGTGTGGGCGGGGAGAGGGGGGGAGAGAGACAGAGTGAGACTTTCAGCAGAAATGGAAGTGTGCGTTTAGAGTTTGAGAGGGCCAGAGCGCAGAAGAGAGTGCAAGAGTGAGTGAGGGTTGCTGGCTTTACTGGCTGAGGCCGCTGCGTTGCTGACCAAGGCCAGCAACATGGAATTTTTTAGAATTCTCATGCAGAGAGTTTTTGAAAATTCTCAAAAACTCCCTGCAACGTCAAGGCTGCTGCGTTGCTGACCAAGGCCAGCAACATGGTGACTTGACTCTTAGGGCTTTCCCACAGGCTCACAAAGACCAGTGTGCGCCCTCCTTTGCAGACAAGCAGCGGACGGAGGATGAGCAGGATGATTTAAGAAGGATAATCTAAGAAGGATGAGGGGGATGATGTGGAGGGGAGAGGGGGGGGAGATCCTAGCCAGGTCGCGGGAATGGATGTGGGTTGGTGGGGGAAGGAGGAGGGAGGAAGGGGGGAGGAGAGCTGGTGAGAAGGAGAGGAGAGGAGAGATAGGGAGGGGGGAGGGGATAGAGGGAGAGAGGGAGAGAGAGAGGGAGAGAGAGAGGGAGGGAGGGAACACGCACCAGAGCAAGTGCCATCTGACAGCTGGGTATAGTAGTTGTTGCAAAAGCATTGACCGTCACTGCAGTAAGCATTGGGACGGCACTTCACACCATCGCAGGGGTCTGGAAAGTTGGAAGAGACCCCAAGACGGGCAGGAGTGTGTTAATCCAGACGGACATAGATAAAAGGAGCAAAGGACTTGGCATGCAAAGAACGAATGAAGAGAGGGGGTGTGAAGTGAAAGAAACGGTGCCATCACATACCAGTGCAACGGGTGCCGTTCCATGTTGCTATCAGTGAAGACCACGTGAGGTAGGGTGTGGGAGAGGGAGCGAGGAGCATCAATATGCAGACAAAGAATCACACCACGTACCAACACACGATCCAGGCCCCCCAATGTATCCAGATGAACATCTGCAGACTGACTCGCCGTTCTCGCCGCCATAATCCATACACTCTTCCCTAGAGCCACAATTCCTGATTATGCACGATTCTGGTACATGGTCAGGGGCGGTGAGAGTGTGGGGGAGAGCATGGGAGAGAGTGCGAGAGTGAGTGAGGGTTTGGAATGACCTTGAAATTTTGAGCTCCGAAGGCAAACAGGGTGTAGAAAATCAGACCTATGTGCACAATGTGCACAAGGAGAAGCTAGTTCTGAGATGTTGACAAGGGTCTACAAACAAAAGTTAACTGAAGTGATGAATACAAGCAAAACAAAAGCTAAAATAGGCAGAAAGTGAAGAGAGCTAGCTTGGAGGCGACTTGGGCTGGTCCAGGTGAGGAATTTGGTACCCAAGGGACTTGGGGTGGCCAAATGGGTGCTCAAGTCGCCCACAGTCAAGATGGGGACGTGAGGGACCCTCAAAGTGGGCCTGGAAGCGCCCCCCTCTAGTGAAACCGCGATTCCACGAATTGAAAACGCGAATTCCAAGCTGGAGCCGCGTTTCCAGTGTTGAAATTCGTGGGTCCAGGCTGGAGCCGCGTCCCCAAGGATGGGAAACGTGCTGGGGTGCCCCAAAGCCGAATTTGGGGTGCCTAGCACTTGATAAAGTCACTCAGGGGGGCACCCTATAACTAATATAACCCAACCCCTATTGTCTACACTATTATAATGTAAGCAAATACATACAAACCATAAAACAAACTAGTGAACTAACCTTCAGCATAATTAAAGGAAAATAAGTACCTAACAACACAGGGCCCTTACCCATGCCGAGGGGCAAGGGGCTGAGGGCAAAGGCAAGTGCAGAGGTCTGAAGGCTCACTCTTTCTCTCGCTCTCTCAATGCCTTTTTTTTGTTTTACATGACCCCTACAACCTGACACGCACCAGTGCAAGTGCCATTCGATAGCATGTAGTAGTCGGGGTTGCAATCGCATTGACCGTAGTTGCAGTAAGCATTGGGACGGCACTTCACACCGTCGCAGGGGTCTGGAAAGTTTGAAGAGAATTGAGGCAGTTTGAACAAGACGGGCAGGAGCGTGTTAATTCAGAGGGGCATAGATAAAAGGAGCAACGGACTTGGCATGCAAAGAACGAATGAAGTGAGGGGGTGTGAAAGAAACGGTGCCACCACATACCAGTGCAATGAGTGCCGTTCCATGGGTAGTCGGGTTGGCAAACGCACTCCACACCGCCGCTGCAATAGGCGTGCATTGGGCAGTCACTGTCGGTGCCACACACTGAACAGAGAGAAAGTAGAGGGAGAGGGGGGTTGGAAGAAAAAGCAACAGGGGAGAGATGGGGAGATGGAAGGGACTCCGTCACTCCGAGCCGTCACTTTGAGGCGTTCTACATCTTTGAGCCGGTCTAAATTGACGATTTCATCATCGTCTCCAAGGACTCCGCTGAGATGACTTCGGTTCAGACGACTTTGAGCAAGACCATCTTGATGAAGGACCTTGGTGACCTCAAGGAATACCTGGGGATGGAGATTGTACGCGATCGTTAGGTTCGGACCACCAGGCTCTCTCAGAAAATTTTACATCGACAATGTCCTCAAGCACTTTCAGATGGGCTCCTGCACGCCCATTGCCACCCCACTGCCGCTGCAGCGCCTTCTCAAGGTCTGGCTCATAGCTCATAGCTATGAGCCACTGGCTCACAGCTCCAGCTACACCCATACCCAAGGCCTGCTCCGAGCCATACCCGGAGCTTGTCGGGTCCCTCATGTACGCCATTTTGTGTACTCGCCCTGACCTGGCATATCCTGTCAGTCCTCTCTTTCGGTATGTGGCTCCTGGACACTTTACCGATCTCCGCTGGACAAGTGTGAAGCGGGTTTTGCATTATCTGCAAGACACCAAGTCTCATGTCCTCACACTTGGTGGTTTTACTCCTCCCCGACTGAAAGGCTACAATGACTCTCCTGGGCAGATGACCGGACCGACCGACGCTCCTCCCAGGGCTACAACTTCACCCTTGGTGGTGGAGTTGTTAGTTGGCTCTCCACGAAGTCCTCTGCAATCTCCCTCTCATCATGCGAGGCAGAACTATATGCCGGCACTATGGCAACTCAGGAGGCTCGTTGGCTCTGTTTCCTTCTCCAGGTGCTTGGCTACCCTCAGTTGACACCCACCATCTGGTGTGACAATCAGAGTACATCCACCTCTCCCAGGATCGTTAGTTCTACACCCGCACCAAGCACATCGCGCGAGCTTCGTCACTTCTTCATTCGTGACCTTGTTCAGCTCAGCTTGATCAGCTGATGGTGTAGTACATCGCTTCTTACTGCAACTTGGCTGATCTGTTCACGACCCTTGGGCGGGTTCCTCACCATCGTCTTTTTGACGCCATGAGGCTCTGTGCCCCAGCTTCTCTGCCTTGATTTAGATTGACGTTTATGAGGGGGTGTTGATGTTAGCCCTTTATCTGAACCTTTGTACTTGCACTTTTTATATCATACATTAGTGTAGTTTGTGTTGATGTTAGCCCTCAATCTCACATCATGTACTTGTACTTTTAGGTTAGTGTAGTTTGCACTTTGTGTTTGGTTGGGTGTACACCCACATTCCAACCAAACCCAAATGTAATCTCCAAGCAATCTCCAAGCCACCAATTGGAGATTGCCTTGGGATTACCCTTGATTCCCTAGGATAGCCCCTGATTCCCTCTCCATCCACTCCTTGCTCATTTCCTATGCACTTAAAGAGCGTTGAGCTCACTACTAATGTATCAAGTCTCAGCCTAAGTTCTGACAGTTTGTACTTTGTGTTGGTTGGGGTGTACACCCACATCCCAACCAACCGAACATGTTCGTGTTCGCCCGAACATCTCTGACGTTCGGCCCCCTTTAATAGGTTCGCCCACAGTGGGCGAACCTCGAACATAAGATTTCAGTAAAAAGTGTTCAGGCGAACCGAACATGTTCGGTTCGCCCACTGAGTGTGTTCGTCACAGTTCGGGCGAGCCGCGACGATGTTCGTCCGGTGCTCATCCCTCCAGGCAGGTGGTCACGATCTCTCGAAAGCTTCTTGACATGCTTTGAGGCACTTCAAAACAACACTTGTGATCTATTCATAGGAGAGGGATAGGGAGGAAGGAAGCACCAAGTAGACACAAAAAGAAAAAACCAGCACACACCTTGGCAAGTGCCGTCAGATTGCATGATCAAGCCTGTGCTGCACTGGCAAGATGCCTTTCCAGATGCAGGGTCCTTGACACACATGGCCGTGTCGTGGCATCCCTTGAGATAACAGTTCTCTGACAGGGAGGATGAAAGAAACAGTTGGGGAAAGGCAAGTACCATCTCAAGCTGCAAGGTCGGAAGGAAGGGAAGTAGTTCGGAAGGGAACAACTCCAAGCTCCAATCTCACGGTACTCTCAAGAAATGCACGGCTTGGGGGAAACAGAGAACGCTTTGTGTGAAAATGTTACCACACAAACAATCAGAAGGCCAGAAGTTCTGCCAATATTTGATGACACCACGAAGCATGGACGCCTTTTGAGGTGCCTAAATAAAAACAGCCAGAAGGCTAGAGGGTTTACCAGTATTGATGATACCAAGAATGGAACAGAGCGGAAAAAAGAAAGGCGAGCAAGGAGAGGAACGAGCAAATGGATGAGGTAGCGCATTGCAACCGCTCAGAGACTTCTCAGAATGATACGTACCGGCGCAATACATGTCTTCAATAACGTCTCCAACGCAGCTAGAACCAATGGCACAGCCTGTGATGATGCATGTTGCTGGCGAAGGAAGCGGGGAGGGAGGAAGAGAAAGGGATTGGTGGGGGGATGGGGGCAAAGGGAAAGCAGAAGGGAGAGGGGGGAGCGAGGGTTTTTCTTTCACCAGACCTTGCCTGTTCATGTTGTGCATCCAAACACAGGACGAATTGAGAGGGGAGGGGGAAGAGAAGAGAGAGGGCAAGGGGTGTCTCCAATGCCAAACGAGGTGAGGGGTGGTGAGACCGAGACCGAGTATTGGGGATGGGTAAAGCGAATGAGGGTCCCAATATGGGGCCACAACTACGCACCGGCACAGGTGTTATTCGGTAGCATGTAGTAACCATTGTTGCAACGGCAGGTTTTGGCTCCACTTTGAAGGCCCATCTCACATGTAGCATTGGGGCCACAGAGATCGCACACATCTGACAGAAGGGGTGGCAATAAAAAGAGAGAACGAGAAAGAGGGTGAGGGAGATGAGGAATAGGTTGCAAGAAGTAGGAAGTCCATGTTCACACTGCTACACTGCCGGCGATGTACTCTAGAAAAGGCGTAGCACGTTCGCCTCGCGCTTTCGTTTTAGCAGACAAGGGAAGACACGAGCCCAAACGGAATGACGATACACGTGCCACGCAGCCGCATGTAATTTTATGTACCGATGCATGCCCCAGACACATTTTTGTAGCCCTGCTTGCAAACGCACCATGCCTGGTCACGTGTGCCCTTGACACAGGTGGCGATGGGATCACAGTTCTGCATAAGGCACGAGTCTGGAAGGAATATTGAAGAGGTGCGGGAGAGATGATGATGGAATGAGGGGCTCAGAATCAATGCAGTTGGGTGGAGGAGAGATGGAAGGAGAGAGCGAAGGAGAGAGGGAGACGCAGGCACTTACCAGTGCCACAGGCACAGCACCAGCCAGCCATGCAGCGACTCCAGCCACACTCACCGATGCAGCGACCATTGGAAGTCATGGTGAATCCATCGTTGCAACCACATGTTTCATTCCTTTCTGCATTCTTGTAACAGAAGGCATTCGCTCCACATTTAGTCACAGTGCATGGCTCTGAGGGGAATGGGGAGAGAAGGGAAGGAGAGGCACAGGAGGCAGTGATGGGGAGGCCCTGAGGGCTGCCGGTTTGCAAGCATGACTCTCACTCAAGGCACCAAGGGAGATGAGGAGTTCTCTCGGGTTTGCCGGTTTGCCGGGTCAGCTGAGCCATGCACAGTCACCGCATCATTACTCACCCTTGCAGCCCAAGGGAGTCATCGTGTAACCATCGTTACAAGCACACGTATTCTCCGCTGCTGCATTCTTGTAACAGAAGGAGTTCTCTCCACAGTTGTTCACAGTGCATGGCTCTGAGGTGGACGGGGGAGGAAAGGGAGGGAGGGACAGAGGAACCATTGGTGGCATTGATAGAGAAAGCCCACGTTAAAGGCGAATGTTGCAATGATATCACAGCTGAGTGGCGATGCAGGAACAGATAGATAGCAGTGGTATCATAGCAATAGTACAGTGCAGCAATAAAATGGCAAGATGCCAGCAGCCAACCATGCAAACGGCAAACCACTCCCGTGAGGACCTTTCAGTGATGCATACCACTCCAGTGAGGACCTTTTAGTGATGCATACCACTCTAGTGAGGACCTTTCAGAACAGAATTCAGAGACTGAGTCAACGGTCAGAATCAGATTGGCTGCCAGCCAGTACTGACGATACTAGACATGGAGGAGAGTGGAAGAGTGAAGGTGTGAGCGACAGAAAAGACGGGGAGGAGAAGCACTGATTCACGAGCAAATGCGAGCACTAATGGGGCGGAGCAGAGCAACATGTACTGCCACAGGAACCAGCGGTTTTGGAGGGGAGGGGTAGGTAGGGACGGGGGTGGAACAAGCACAACGTACCGACACAAGAACCCTCGACCCTGATGGCTCCCGCAATGCATTCACAGGCGGCACCGTCTTCATGGGGAACACATCGTTCCCGTTCGCCACACGTCTTGTAATCGCAGTTTTCTGGAAGAAGGGAGGGAGAGAGAGAGAGAAATACAGAGAGAGGTCGGACAACGCCCCAGCCTCTCACTAGCCATCGGCTCGGCAGGCTTGGCCTCTTGGGCACCCCTCTGTGGGATCCGCCCACAGCCTCCTCTCCCAGGCACCCGTGCAGTGCAGGCACCCAGACTTGTTGCACCTCAAGGTGACTTTTGAGTCGACTCAAAAGTCGGCTCGGTCTCTCTTGGGGACCCCTTTGTGGGATCCGCCCACATCCTCCTCTCCCAGGCACCCGTGCAGTGCAGGCACCCAGACTTGTTGCACCTCCAGCACCACCCCCCACTCGTTCTCCGAGCGACTGGCCCATGGCCCGCCAATAACCTTCTTCGCTGCAGGAAAGTAGGTGGGCGCACAGATGCTATACACAATGGCCTCGGCTGCAACACCACGGCAGGAAAGTAGGTGGACGCACAGATGCTATGCACAATGGCCTCGGCTGCAACACCACTGCAGGAAAGTAGGTGGACGCACAGATGCCATGCACAATGGCCTTGGCTGCAACACCATGGCCGCAAGAGCAAGGCCCCGTGTTCGGTGCCAGTTAGGTATGGCAGAGGGCCCAGGCGGGTCCATCCTACCTAAGCATGGGCATTTGACCCGACCCGGCCCGACCCGTCCCGTTGAGGGCGACCCGTTAGCTTAACGGGTCGGGTCGGGTCGGGTTAGCGGGTCGGGTTTGACTCTGTTTTGGTGACCCGATCCGCCCCGTGGGAACGGGTATTTGTGACCCGTTACCGGGTCGGTTACACCACGGGTCGGGTTGGGTCGGATCAAAATATGCTACATAGCAGCAGGGTATGGGGGTTAGGTCTGATCGCGATGCTGAACCTGTCCTAATGCGGTGCCGCGATCGCGCATATGCGTGGCGGCGATCGCGCCAATGCGGGGCCGTGATCGCGCTGAGCAAACGCGGGGCCGAGATCGCGCTATTGCGGGGACGCGATCCCGCCAATGCGTGGCTGCACGCGCGCTGCTGCGCCCCTGGTCGTGCGACGCTGCGAAATGGCGGGAGCGCCAAACCCTAACCTGAAGATAATATGCAGTTTAAATAGTGCTAACATTGAAGAGTGAAGACTGTATGATGCTCCCTAGCTGCAGCGCAGAAGTACTAGCCTTGATCTAGTCTAGCGACTAGATCAGAATGTCGAGGGAAAAAAAACCTAAAAAACCAAGAGATGTTCAACCCCTACCCTAATCCGAAAACGGGTCGGGTAACCCTGTCATTTGACTGGGTACGCGACCCAGACGGGACGGGTCAACCCGACCCGGCGGGTCGCAAAAACCCGTCACTAAATCACAGTGACTGACGGGTCACGGGTCGACCCGACCCGTCCGGGTTTTCCCGACCCGACCCGGGCGGGTCGGCCTTCTCAGCATTCCTGACCCGACCCGCCCTAAAGGGCGTTTTGACCGGGTCGGGTTACCCGACCCGTCCGGGTCAAATGCCCATGCTTAATCCTACCTTGCTACCAGTGAGCAGGACCGCGTGAGAGAGAATGGGAGAGGGAGCGAGTGGCATCAGTATGCAGACCGAGAAGCACACCACCACGTACCAACACACGACCCAGGCTTCCCACTGTATCCATTGAAGACTTTTGAGACGTCCCAAACCACGTACCAACACATGCTCCAGGCTTCCCACTGTATCCATTGAAGCATCTGCAGAAGGAGTCGCCGCCTTCCACGTCTACACACTCTTCCCGAAAGCTACCACAACTCTTGCGATTGCACGTTTCTGGTACGTGGTCAGGGGAGTGAGAGTGTGGGGGGGAGGAGAGAGAGAGCATGAGACATACATACATGCCCTTTTTACCTACCAAGACAGAGACTGCATGAGACGAAAGAAGCCACCAATACGCACCAATGCAAGTGCCGTTTGGCAGCTTCTCGTAGCCATCGTTGCAGACGCACACAGCGCCCCCTTTAGTGTCCAGGTCACAAATAGTTCTGGACGGACAGGCCGTCAACTGGCACACGTCTGATAGGAGTGGAATTAAATCCATAGTGGGGCAGGGAGAGGGACAGAGAGAGGAAGAAAGGGCCAAGCGGGAACGGTTAGAAGGCCGAAAAAGAAGGGGGAGGTGAGGACGAGGAGGGTTTTGGGTCTAGGGGTAAACTTGGTGAGGCGGGGAAAGATGGATGAGTCTGCTGTTGAGCTAGCTCACTCAAAGAAGGGTCAGATTAGGGAAAAACGATGTGGGAATGACAAGTGAGAGTGGAGAAAAGCCTCAAACAGAATTATACAGGCCATGACATACGGGTGCATCTGTCGTTAACCATTCTGTAGCCGGATTCACACATGCACATATAGCCGCCTCCAGTGACCTCGCCGCATGTACTGCCATAGAAAGGGCAGTTGCCGAAGTCGTCACATGGAACTGCAGTGAGGGAGGGATGGTGAGAGATGCTTAGGGGCGGATAGCGAGAGTTGCGCGACTCGTTACACTGCACTGAGGGTGCTTTTGAGTCTACTTTAGAACGCGACTCGTCACACATGACTCGTTAGCTTCTAACGAACCGGCCACAAAAGGGGAGGAAGGAGAGAAGGAGAGAGGGAGGGAGGGAGAGGTTGGAAGTTGGACAAAGGGAACGAGTGAGGTGAGGTGAGACAAGACGCACATCACCCAACCAGCCATGCAGCGACTCCAGCAACACTCACACATGCAGCCATCATTGGAAGTCCTGGTGTACCCATCGTCGCAGCCACACATGTCACTCCCTGCTGCATTCTTGTAACAGAAGGCATTCGCTCCACAGTTGTTCAAAGTGCATGGCTCTGAGGGGAATGGGGAGGAAAGGGAGGGACAGAGGCACCAGTGGCGGCATTGATAGAGAGAGCCCACGTTAAAGGCCAGTGTTGCAATGGCTCTGATGTGGACGGAGGAGGAAAGGGAGGGAGGGACAGAGGAACCATTGGTGGCATTGATAGAGAGAAGGAAACCACGTAAAGGGCCAATGTGGAATGAGCATGGGCATCACACTCGAAATGCAAGATGCCCACAGCTACCCATGGCAAACGGCAAGCCACTCCTGTGACGTATGCTAAGTAGTACATGAACGGAAAGGTCTGCTAAGTACCGACACAAAAGGAAGTTTTGCCAGTGCTTTCAAGTACTACTACATACATACGCAGGTTGCTTGCAGTGCTGACAGTTCTCACAAGCTTTGCCACCATGCTTGATTGCGCATGCTTCTATCAGGAGGTTGGTCAGGATCTCTTGAGAGTTTCTTGTCATGCTTTGAGGCGCTTCAAAATAACACTTGTGATCTATCCCTTGCTTTTGAGTCGATTCAAAAGCACTTGTGATCTATCCCTTGCTTTTGAGTCGACTCAAAAGCACTTGTGATCTATTCCTTGGAGAGGGTTAGGGAGGGAGAAAGTACCAAGAAGGCGTCACGTAAAGCAAAGGAAACCACCAATACACACCTCTGCAAGTGCCATCAGATTGCATGGTAAAGCCGGTGCTGCACTGGCAGGATGCCGTTCCAGATACAGGGTCCTTGGCACACACAGCCGAGTCATGGCATCCCTTGAAATTGCAGTTATCTTATAGGGAGGATTGAAAAACAACAGTTGGGGAAAGGCAAGTGAGAACCATTTGAGAGGGAAGTAGTTCGGAACACCTCCAAGCTACAATCTCACGGTAGTCTCCACCTCCAGAAATGTGCGGCTTGAAAGAGATAGAGCTAAGAGCACCATTTGTGATTTTTTTTTTTTTTTATCAAGCGTTTATGAATAAAACATCAAGCATGGAATGGAGCGGAAAAGCGTAAGGCGAGTAAGGGAAGGCAAGAGAAAGAGGGTGAAGTAGAGCGAATGCAACCGCTGAGAGACGTCTCAGAATGATACGTACCGGCGCAATACATGTCTTCAGTAGCGTTTCCAACGCAGCTAGAACCAATGGCACAGCCCGTGATGCTGCATGTTGCTGGCAGAAAAAGGAGGGAGGGAGGAGGAGAGGGGGATTAGACCTTGTTTGTACATGCTGTGCATACAAACACGAAGGAAGGGGATACATGCTGTGCATACAAACACGAAGGAAGGGGATACATGCTGTGCATACAAACACGAAGGAAGGGGATACATGCTGTGCATACAAACACGAAGGAAGGGGATACATGCTGTGCATACAAACACGAAGGAAGGGGATACATGCTGTGCATACAAACACGAAGGAAGGGGATACATGCTGTGCATACAAACACGAAGGAAGGGGATACATGCTGTGCATACAAACACGAAGGAAGGGGATACATGCTGTGCATACAAACACGAAGGAAGGGGATACATGCTGTGCATACAAACACGAAGGAAGGGGATACATGCTGTGCATACAAACACGAAGGAAGGGGATACATGCTGTGCATACAAACACGAAGGAAGGGGATACATGCTGTGCATACAAACACGAAGGAAGGGGATACATGCTGTGCATACAAACACGAAGGAAGGGGATACATGCTGTGCATACAAACACGAAGGAAGGGGATACATGCTGTGCATACAAACACGAAGGAAGGGGATACATGCTGTGCATACAAACACGAAGGAAGGGGATACATGCTGTGCATACAAACACGAAGGAAGGGGATACATGCTGTGCATACAAACACAGGACCATTCAAGACGGAAGGGGTAAGCGAGAGTGAGGGGTGGTGAGTCTGAGAGCGAGTATTGGGAAGAGAGCAAAGCGAATGAGCCACATCGACGCACCAGCACAGGTGTTATCCGGTAGCATGTAGTAACCATTGTTGCAACGGCAGGTTTTGGCTCCACTCTGCTGGTCCGTGTCACACGTAGCATTGGGACCACAGAGATCGCACTCATCTGACGGGAGGGGTGGCAATTATACGAAAGAAAGAGAAAGGAGGGCTTGGGGGATGAGGAATAGGTTACAAGACATAGGAAGCCTATGTTTACAATTTAAGGCGCCTCAAAATGCACCTCACTACACGAGGAGAGCTTGGGGGATGAGGAATAGGTTACAAGACATAGGAAAGAGAGGGGTAAGACACAGGACGCCCGTGTTTACACTGCTAGACTGCCTGCGATGTATTTTAGAAAGGCGTAGCACGTCCGCCTTGCGCTGCGCTTCCTTTTTAGCAGACAAGGGAAGACACAAACCCAAACCGAATGATGATGCACACGTGCGTGCCACGCAGCCGGCATGTTAAATTACGTACCGATGCATCTCCCAGACACATTTTTGTAGCCCTGCTTGCAAATGCACCATGCCTGGTCACCTGTGCCCTTGACACAGGTGGCGTTGGGACCACAGTTCTGCATAAGGCACGAGTCTGGACGGAGGATCGGAGTGGGGGGGGAGAGATGATGAGGGAATTGGAGGATCGGGGTCAACGAGGGAGGATCAACCTTAGTAAGGTTGACCGATGGAGGGAGGATCAACCTTAGTAAGGTTGACCGATGGAGGGAGGATCAACCTTAGTAAGGTTGACCGATGGAGGGAGGATCAACCTTAGTAAGGTTGACCGATGGAGGGAGGATCAACCTTAGTAAGGTTGACCGTTGGGCGCTTGAGGGAAGGTGCTCACAGAAGTTGACGGGGTGTTGTGTTGTGAGCGAGGGTGTTACACTTTCGCCCAACCCCTCGCTACAATTTCAAAGGGGGGACTTTGTGTTTGGTTTCCCAAGTCCCAAGTTCCATCAAGTTGCAAGTCACCTGGTTTCCCAAGTCCCAAGTTGCAAGGGCGTAGGTTCTCAAGTTTCCCAGCTTCAATCCATCAAGATTATTACACCTGCCCAGCGCGGTCCGCAATTTGGGCCTAGAGCTTTGAAGAGTGTGAGCGATCGGGATGGGAAGTTGGGTGGGGGAGAGATGGAAGAAGAGAGCGAAGGAGAGAGGGAGACGCACCAGTGCCACGGGCACACCACCCACCCAGCCATGCAGCGACTCCAGCAACACTCACCGATGCAGCGACCATCGAAGATCAAAATGTACCCATCGTTGCAACCACATGTGTCGGTCCCTGCACCATTCTTGTAACAGAAGGGAAGTGGACTTGAGGAACTGTTATTCCCTGCACATTTGTTCACAGCGCATGGCTCTGAGGGGAGGTGGGGAGGGAAGGAAGGGAGAGGCACAGGAAGCAGCAATGGAAAGGCACTGAGGGCTGCCGGTTTGCAAGCATGACTCTCACTCAAGGCAGGAAGGGAGATGAGGAAGCTGGGTCAGCTGAGCCAGAAACACCCAAGACTTGCATTGAGTCCCACCCACGGCTATTTGCACAGCCACTGCAGCATCACTCACCCTTGCAGCCCAAGGGAGTCATGGTGTAACCACTGTTACAAGCGCACGTGTTGCTCCCTGTGGCATTCTTGTAACACACGGCATCGGATCCACACTCGTTCCGGTCGCATGGTACTGGGTGTGGGGGTAACAGCAAGCAAGGCAAGGGCACGCATGTGAGGCAGGAATTGAATCGCCTCAAAAGTCAATAGTCGCGGCTTTATCCGCTATTTTGCTTCGCCGCCATTACATGGGGCGGGTAAGAGGTGTGGGGCGAAGGGAGAGCATGGGAGAGGAGGTGCCTAGGGGGGAGAGGGTAAGGGAGCACAAGGGGCCGGATTGGCGTATGGGGCAAGGCAGCCAAGGAGGACGAGAGGAGCAAGAAGGGCAAGGGGAAGAGCGGATGAAGAATCGGCAGGTTCATTCATGAAGAATGGTGCATGCGTCACGGGGCATGGGGAATGGGCCATGAGGCATAAATGGACCATGGGACATGGAATGTAGGATCACGGGACACGGGAACGGGGCATGGATGGAGTATCATTGTCTATGGAGCATGGTAATTTTTGAGTCGACTCAAAAGGAATGAGATATCACCCCTCAGCTCAGCACAGTCACTCACAGGCACACGTCTCATTGGGGAGCATGACTAGGCCAGGCTTGCACGAGCACATTCCATTGACGCAGTGGCCAGTGGTATTTTTGCAGTCCTTCAGATCTTTGCACGTGGCTGGTGGAGTGGAGGCACCACAGAGAGGATCGTAGCACAGGGGTAGACGGGCGCAGAAGATTGGGGGGGTGAGAGACAGGAGAACACGGTTCTAGAGCAGGCCTGGCTAGGGCTGCTTCTCTTTGATGGATCCCGGCAGGGAGAGACAGCAACAACAGCAGCAGCAACAGCTGGAACAGCAATGGTGCTGACAGCAACAGCGGCAAAGACGGCAGCAGGCGGGGGTGGCAGGAGCAGAGTGAATCAACTCACAGACACAGGCTTGCATGTCCACGTTCCACAATTTCCCCTTAGGACAGGCTGAAAGAGGGAGACAAAAGCGAGATGGAGAGAGGAATGCATTATTTGTCGTCACTTCAGAACTTGCGAATTAGCTAGGTTTTACTACAACAACTGATTTCTCCTTTGCTAAACTTTCTCCTGCAGTGCAGCTAGCAGGAACATGTCTGGAGATCGAGATGGAGAAAGGAATGTGTTGTTCGTTCGTCACTTCAGAATTTCCGGCGAATGGAGAGAGCAAGAGAGAGAGATATAACGGCCTTCGGCCGCGCATGAGGGAATGGGTCAGCAGTCAGGAACATATTACTACCACAACCATGGATGCAACATGAAAGGACAAGACAAAGGGGCGATTCTACTCGCGAAGGGGCGCTACTACAGCATGCGGTCTGTTGGTGTTACCTATGCATTTCCCAGACACATTTCTGAAGCCCTGCTTGCAAATGCACCATGCCTGGTCACCTGTGCCCTTGACACAGGTGGCGTTGGGACCACAGTTCTGCATAAGGCACGAGTCTGGAAGGAACATCGGAGAGGGGGGGGGAGAGAGAGATAACAAGGGATTGGAAGGCTCGGGGTCAACGCGTGAGGATTTGAAAGAGAATGAGCGATCGGGATGGGTATTTGGGTGGAGGAGAGAGCGCAGGAGAGGAGAGAGGGAGACGCAGGCACTTACCAGTGCCACAGGCACAGCACCAGCCAGCCATGCAGCGACTCCAGCCACACTCACCGATGCAGCGACCATTGGAAGTCATGGTGAATCCATCGTTGCAACCACATGTGTCATTCCTTTCTGCATTCTTGTAACAGAAGGCATTCGCTCCACATTTAGTCACAGTGCATGGCTCTGAGGGGAATGGGGAGAGAAGGGAAGGAGAGGCACAGGAGGCAGTGATGGGGAGGAAGTGATGACAGCTGGTTTGCAAGCATGACTCTCACTCAAGGCGATAAAAGGGGCTGTGCTATGCACTGACTCCCACGGCTATTTGCACAGCCACTGCAGCATCACTCACCCTTGCAGCCCAAGGGAGTCATGGTGTAACCACTGTTACAAGCGCACGTGTTGCTCCCTTTGGCATTCTTGTAACACACGGCATCGGATCCACACTCGTTCCGGTCGCATGGTACTGGGTGTGGGGGTAACAGCAGGGGAGGCAAGGGCGCGCATGTGAGGCAGGAATTGAATCGAATCAAAAGTCAATAGTCGCAGCTTTATCCGCTATTTTCCTTCACCACTGCTGCTCTTCACCCTTACATGGTACTCGCTGCACAGGCGTTGTTGGGGCATGGGGTGGGTGAGAGGTGTGGGGGGGGCAAGGGAACATGTTCGAGGCGAACCAAACATTTTTTTTCTTTCTTTCTTTTGCCAAAAGTGTTTGGGTCGAACATGTTCATGTTCGTTTTCGAACAGCGACGAACACAAATGTGTTCGTCGCGAACGTCCTCTGATCGAAGGCGCCAAGGGCCATTTTTTCCATCAGATCTGCGCAAATCTGGCATCTCGCCGTCAAATATGCGCGGACCTGGCATCTCGCCGTCAGATCTGATGGCAGAAGTGTGTGTGTGTGGGGGGGGGGGGGGGACGGGTGCCACGATTTGAGTTTTACTGGAAACCAGTGTCAATGTTAATCCGTGTAATTTCACCACGGGAATGCTGTGGGACTAAAACGAAATGAGCCTACAAAACTAACACGAACATGTTCGCCTCAAACATGTTCGTTGTCGGGCCAAAAATGTTGTTTGGTGAACACCGAACACCCCTTTTCGTTGGAGGTGTTGGCCCTTTGCTCAACCCTAGGAGGTGGTGCCCAGGAGGGGAGAGAGCAAGGGAGCACAAGGGGCCGGATGGGCGACATGGGGCAAGGGAGCCGAGGAGGTCGAGAGGAGCAAGAAGGGCAAGGGGAGAAGCGAAGGTTTATGTGTGTCACTCAACGGCCACTAGCGCACGCCTCACAATGCATTTAAGTCAACCGTGAATGGTGCATGCAGCACAGGGCATGGCGCATGGAATATAGGATTATGGGAACCGGAAACGGGGCATGGAGTATCATTGTCTATGGAGCATGGACATAAGGCATGAGATCGCACCCCTCAGCATAGTCACTCACAGGCACATGTTTCACTGGGGAGCACGATTAGGCCAGGCTTGCACAAGCAGAGTCCATCAACGCAGTAGCCAGTGGTCTTTTTGCAGTCCTTCACATCGCGGCACGTGGCTGGTGGAGTGGAGGCACGGCAGGGAGGAAAAAATCTTTCAAAATAGAGATTGCGGGTTAAGAGGCGGCTTTCGAGGCACCTCACAAGCAGAGTCCATCAACGTAGTACCCAGTGGTCTTCTTGCAGATCGCGGCACGTGGCTGGTGGAGGCACCACAGAGAGGAGCGTAGCACAGGGGTAGACGGGCGCAGAAGATTGGGGGGGTGAGAGACAGGAGAACACGGTTCTAGAGCAGGCCTGGCTAGGGCTGCGTCTCTCTTACGGATCCCAGCAGGGAGAGAGAACTTGCAGGATAGATTGAGACAGCAGCAGCCTCAGGAGCAGCAGCAGCAGCAGCAGCAGCAGCAGCAATGGGGCCGACAGCAACAGCAGCAATGACGGCAGCAGCAGTAGCAGCAGATTCAGTAGCAGCAGCAGGCGTGGGCCGCGTGGCGGCAGCAGGGTGCATCAACTCACCGACACAGGCTTGCACGTCCGCGTTCCACAATTTCCGCTTAAGACAGGCTGGAAGAGGGAGACACAAACCCAAACTGAATGATGATACACACGTGCGTGCCACGCCGCCTGCATGTTGTTTTACGTACCGATGCATGCCCCAGAGACATTTCTGAAGCCCTGCTTGCAAATGCACCATGCCTGGTCACCTGTGCCCTTGACACAGGTGGTCTTGCCTCCACAGTTCTGCACAATGCACGAGTCTGGAAGGAAGGAAGATTGGAGAGGGGGGCGGGGGGAGAGATAACAAGGGATTGGGGTGCTCGGGCGGGGTCAACGCGTGAGGATTTTCAAGAGAATGAGCGATCGGGATGGGTTGTTGGGTGGAGGAGAGAGCGCAGGAGAGAGGAAAACACACACAGTGCCACAGGCACAGCACCAGCCAGCCATGCAGCGACTCCAGCCACACTCACCGATGCAGCGACCATTGGAAGTCGTGGTGAATCCATCGTTGCAACCACATGTTTCATTCCTTCCTGCATTCTTGTAACAGAAGGCATTCGCTCCACATTTGTTCACAGTGCATGGCTCTGAGGGGAAAGGGGAGAGAAGGGAAGGAGAGGCACAGGAGGCAGTGATGGGGAGGAAGTGAGGAGAGTTGGTTTGCAAGCATGACTCTCACAAAGGGTGAAAGGAGGGGAAGATGAAATGAGGAAGCAGGGACAGCTGAGCCAGAAACACCCAAGCCTCGCATTGAGCAGCGCCGTGTGGAAGCGACAAAAGGGGCCACTCGCACTGAGCCATTTGGCTGTGCAGATAGCCGTGAGACGCACCGTGTGACTGTGCACTGAGTCCCACGGCTATTTCCACAGCCACTGCAGCATTACTCACCCTTGCAGCCCAAGGGAGTCATGGTGTAACCACTGTTACAAGCGCACGTGTTGCTCCCTTTGGCATTCTTGTAACACACGGCATCGGATCCACACTCGTTCCGGTCGCATGGTACTGGGTGCAGGGGTAACAGCAGGGGAGGCAAGGGCACGGCAAGAATTGAGTCCCTTCGAAAGACATTACTTAAGACTTTATCTGCTCTTTTCTTTCGTGACCGCTGCTCTTGCACCGTTACAGGCGATGTTGGGGCATGGGGCGGGTGAGAGGTGTGGGGCGAAGGGAGGGCATGGGAGAGGAGGTGGCAGAGGGGGAGAGAGCAAGGGAGCACAAGGGGCCGGATGGGCGTATGGGGCAAGGGATGGCACCCTCAACGTAGTCACTCACACCAGCCCTCAGCATAGCCACTCACACCAGCCCTCAGCATAGTCACTCACACCAGCCCTCAGCATAGCCACTCACACCAGCCCTCAGCATAGCCACTCACACCAGCCCTCAGCATAGCCACTCACACCAGCCCTCAGCATAGCCACTCACTCCAGCTCTCAGCATAGCCACTCACTCCAGCCCTCAGCATAGCCACTCACTCCAGCTCTCAGCATAGCCACTCACTCCAGCCCTCAGCATAGCCACTCACTCCAGCTCTCAGCATAGCCACTCACTCCAGCTCTCAGCATAGCCACTCACACCAGCCCTCAGCATAGCCACTCACTCCAGCTCTCAGCATAGCCACTCACTCCAGCCCTCAGCATAGCCACTCACTCCAGCTCTCAGCATAGCCACTCACACCAGCCCCACTCCAGCTCTCAGCATAGCCACTCACTCCAGCTCTCAGCATAGCCACTCACTCCAGCTCTCAGCATAGCCACTCACTCCAGCTCTCAGCATAGCCACTCACTCCAGCTCTCAGCATAGCCACTCACTCCAGCTCTCAGCATAGCCACTCACTCCAGCTCTCAGCATAGCCACTCACTCCAGCTCTCAGCATAGCCACTCACTCCAGCTCTCAGCATAGCCACTCACTCCAGCTCTCAGCATAGCCACTCACTCCAGCTCTCAGCATAGCCACTCACTCCAGCTCTCAGCATAGCCACTCACTCCAGCTCTCAGCATAGCCACTCACTCCAGCTCTCAGCATAGCCACTCACTCCAGCTCTCAGCATAGCCACTCACTCCAGCTCTCAGCACAGTCACTCACAGGCACATGTCTCATCGGGGAGCATCACAAGGCCAGTCTTGCACAGGCACATTCCATTGACGCAGTAGCCAGAGGTCTTTTTGCAGTCCCTGACATCGCGGCACGTGGCTGGTGGGCACGGCAGAGGAGCGTAGCGCAGGGGGTAGACAAGCGCAGAAGATTGGGGGGGTGAGAGGCAGGAGACCCGGTGTAGAACAGGCCTGGGTACGGCTGCTTCTCCTTGACGGATCACAGCAGGGAGAGAGAACTTGCAGGATAGATTGAAACAGCAGCAACAGCACGAGCAACAGCAGCAGCAGCAGCAGCAGCAGCAGCAGCAGCAGCAGCAACAGCGGCAATGGTGACAGCAGCAGCGGCAGCAGCGTCAGCGGCAGCAGCTGCAGCAGGCGAGGCGACACAAGAGTGCATCAACTCACAGACACAGGCTTGCACGCCAGCGCTCCATGATTTCCCCTTAGGACAGGCTGGTGGTTTCACTGGCGACAAACGGACAGCCTTAGCGTGAGGCATGACGGCTGGAAGGAAAGGGGAGGAGAGGAGAGGAGAGGGGGACGGAGGGGAGGGGAGTTTGGAGATAGAGATGGGAAGCTTTAGGGTTTAGGGAGGGAAAGGAAGGAAGGAAGAATCTTGGCAACCAGCCGATCAGCCTCGGCCTGATGAATGCAGCTAGGGGAGAGGCGGAGGAAGGAAAGATAGGCAGAGGAGAGGAGAGGCACGGCGGCGATTGTCACCAGCGACGATATGATGGCGACGGTCATTCTCAAATGATGCCAGCAAGAATCACGAGAACCACGTGCGACGATCTTCTCGTGCGTAGATCATCACTGCTGATGATCACCATCATGGGACGGTCATGGGCGACGGGGTCATGGGCGACGAATCACCATCATGGGTGACGGTCATGGGCGACGGGTCATGGGCGACGAATCACCATCATGGGCGACGGTCACGATCATAGGCGACGAATCACCGTCATGGGCGACGAATCACCATCATGGGCGACAAATCACCATCATGGGCGACGAATCACCATCATGGGCGACGAATCACCATCATGGGCGACGAATCACCATCATGGGCGACGAATCACCATCATGGTCGACTCGACGAATCACCACGAGCTACGATCATCAACAGCATCATCATCAGCACCGACGATCGTCGGCGACAGTCAGCAGCAGTGCGATCATACTAGCTGCTCCAAGTTGGAACGGCAACGACGCTTATTACTACAACATGAGAATTACTTCCTTCGACTCCAAGGGTCGGAGTCCTCACCTGCTACGAGCATCAGAGTCGCCAGCAGCGCTCCAAGCCCAATGCGGCGGCGGCCGCAGCCGAAAGTTGGCCTGGTGATGATCATGTTCCTCACAGAGCAAGAGCGCGAGCGAGAGAGAGCGCGGCGCTCATGCAGCGAAAGCCAAGGCATGAATGTGCCACCAAAGGGTCGATGACTCATCGGATGGGTTTCTGACCGGAAATATGAGCAAGCCGCTATGGGCTTCGCGGCTACTAGTTCGTTGAATGGTGGCGCGGAAAGGAAAGCTGAATACAACCGAGACCACGGAAAGGCTTCATCAAACGGTGGATAGTCCGCCCGTCACCGGATGAGAGGAAACGTGTTTTGAGAGACTCAAACACGCCCGTCACGGACGTGCGAGTCCTCGGAGGAAACTTGCGCATATTTCTTCCGCCGCCGGCTCCGGGCCGCTAGCAAAACCTAACTTCGCTACTCAGCCTTGGAGGGGGCAATGGGGGGACTCCGCTGACGGGGGGAATGTTTTTTCGAGCGGAGCGTGACTGCTAGGAACCAGCCGCCTGAGGCGGCTCGGGGAAACAGCCGTCTCATTTGTATGTGGCACTAGATATACCTTGGCCAACTGCAGTGTGTTGTGAATCCGTCCGAAACAGCATCGCCTTGAGGAGTCATTTGGGACAGATAATACCACCATCTCGATAGTTAACTGGGCAAGTTGAGCCCGCCAGATGATACCACCACCACCCGCCTAAACGGCTCGGGGAGCCGTCTCCTCGTAGATACACTCTATACATACTGTACAGTATCACGCGTAAACTCGCTTGATGATGGAGCTTGTCCGATTGGCCAAGCCCGCACAAAGGCGACTCGCACCTGAGTCGTCTCCCAGCCAACCAGCCACACAATCAATCCTCACAAACGGTTCGTCTGCTAGGCTGCACAAACGAGTGACTCTGCAGCAGGGCTGTCGCTAGGTGCTAAGCTGCCCCGAAATCAACCCTGAAGGATCTGGAAAGCGGTCTTCCATTCAGGGCATTTCTGTTTAGCTTTGAGGATACTTGCGTAAAACAAATTTTAGATAGTCGAGCTAGACACGTTAGGGGAACGGGAGCGACTGGTGTGGTGTTACTGGGAGGAGGGGAGAGGGACCAGTTCGCGGTCTAAGGTCAGAAAGAAAGGGGGGAGGGGAAGTGGGAGGGGCGGACAGGTACGGGAAATCCGGGGAGGGCCAGAACCTGCCCCGTTAGGAGTCCGGGCCTGGAAAAAACCAGCCCTGAAAATCTCTGAGCTGATCTGAAAAGAACCCTGAATTCTCAGGGAAAACGGACAAATGTACGTGAATCGACAGGCCTGCTCTGCAGCCAAAGAGAGAAATGCTTGTGAGGCTAAACTGCACATCATGAACAGTGCATTCTTGGCTGACAAACGGGCCCGACGACCCTCTGACGACTTGACGACATGCTGCCCCGGGCAGGAAAAAACTAAAACCCCATCGGATGGCATGCCATCCGAGGGAGGCATCAACCCTAAATCCATGCCTCCCCGTGTTTAGGGTTGATGCCTCCCTGACCGGATGCGCGCCCTTCCGGAGTTTATTTTTTTTGCCCGCGGGCAGCGAGCTCCCCCGGGCGGACTCGCTTGTCCGCTGAGATTTACTATTCGAAATTGCACATCATGAACAGTGCATTCTTGGCTGACAAGTAAACAAGCGCGCGGTGGTTACAGGAGTGGCTCCCTGTCAGAACATTATAGCTTATATATATTTGTGTAGGCTATAGTGGGGTATCCCATAGGGGGTACAACCCAAACAGGGTTTCCTATATGTACTCACTTCATTCATAGTTGATCCGATCCTCGTTCTACTTTTCTCATGGTATCGAGCAGGTTCCCCCGTGGGAACTGTGCTTAGGGCCCACCACATCGAACTTTTTTTTTTCTGCCCGGAGCGCGCTCCGGGCCCTCTCTCTCACTTTGTCGACCTGCCCTAACGGCCCCTAGACGCCCGCGCGCCGCCCTTAGACGCCCGCGCGCCGCCCGTCCCGGCCCCTAGACGCCCGCGCGCCGCCCTTAGACGCTCGCGCGCCGCCTGTCCCGGCCCCTAGACGCCCGCGCGCCGCCCTTAGACGCTCGCCCGCCGCCCGTCCCGGCCCCTAGAAGCCCGCGCGCCGCCCGTCCAGGCCCCACGCCGCCCGCACGCCGCCCTTAGAGCCCGCGCGCCGCCCGTCTCGGCCCCCTAGACGCCCGCGCGCCGCCCGTCAGGCCCCACGCCACCGTCGCGCCACCCTTAGGCGCCCGTGCGCCGCCTGTCCCGGCCCCACGCCACCCGTGCACCGCCCATCAGGCCCCACGCCGCTGTCGCGCCACCCGTCCCGGCCCGTCGACGCCGTGCGCCGCCCGTCCCGGCCCCACGCCGCCCGTGCGCCGCCCGTCCCGGCCGCGCACAGCCGTCCCGGCCCCTCGTCGCCCGTGCGCCGCCCGTCCTGGCCTCTCGCCACCGTCCCGGCCCCAAGCCGCCCGTGCGTCGCCAGTCCCGGCCCCGCTCCCAGCCGCCCGTGCGCCACCCGTCCCAGCCGTGCGCCGCCGTCCCGGCCCCACACCGCCCGTGCGCCACCCGTCCCTGCCGCACGCCGCCGTCCCGGCCCCACGCCGCCCGTACGCCGCTGTGACACCCAGCCGCCCGAGCCGCCCGTGCCTCCTGCGACACCCGAGCCGCCTGCGCAGCTGAGGAGCCGAGCCGCCCGAGCCGCCTGTGCCGCTGAGTGCCCGAGCCGCCCGAGCCGCCTGCGCAGCCCGAGCCGCCCGAGTCACCTGAGGAGCCGAGCCGCTGGTCCCGCGGAGCCGCTGTTGCTGCTGGGCCGGCCGAGCTGCCGTGTTGCTGTACTACTGAGCTGCCCGACCCGTCCTGTCTGGTGAGACCGTCGACTACTGTCATGGCTACCCCTAGTGTCCTAGCTTTTGACGCTGAGGGTCGTGCCATTGACTTTGAGGTCTGGGTCGACGACCTGCAGCTGTTCTTGCAGTGCGATAGGGTAGACGACCTTTCTCTCTTTGACCTTACCTCTGGCGCCGTCCCTGCCCCTGCTGCTGATTCTGACTCCACTGTTCGCTCCAAGTGGACCACACGCGATGCTGCTGCACGTTTTGCTGTGCGTTGCCACCTCCCTACCTCTGAGCGTGCACACTTTAGTCAGTACAAGAGTGCTCAGACCTTGTACGACGCTGTAGTTGCGCGCTACTCCTCCCCTGCCACTGCTGCACTGAGCCGTCTCATGCTACCGTACCTCTTCCCTGACCTTGCTGCCTTTCCCAGCGGGTGACGCACTGCACAGAGGCTAGCACCGGTCGCCACCTGGCTACGTTTACACGTCAGCCAGGGTCGAGCCTGTACACACTGACCACTGCTTCTCCTCCAGTTGCTGAGTCTGGTAGGGTCCCTTCGTCTGGTCAGGTGTTTGCTGCAGCGTCCAGGTCTGGTCCTGAGTCTGCCCCCTGTTCGTGTCGTCGCCTGTCCCACGAGACTCTCCTCTGGCACCACCGCCTTGGTCACCCCTCTCTGCTTCGGCTCAGAGGCATGGCCTCCCGTCTTCTTGTGTCTGGTCTCCCCCGGTCCCTCCCTCCCCTTCCTCAGGGCCCTGGCCCTGCCTCTGTCCCCTGTGTCGAGGGGCGCCAGCGTGCTGCCCCTCACTCCTCCCAGTTTCCTCCGACAGAGGCTCCGTTGCAGACGTTTCACATGGACGTGTGGGGCCCTGCCCGCGTCCGTGGACTAGGTCACGAGCGCTACTTCCTGTTGGTGGTTGACGACTACTCGCGCTACACCACAGTCTTCCCCTTGTGCAGCAAGGGTGATGTCACTGAGGTGCTGATCGACTGGATCCGCGCAGCTCGTCTCCAGCTCAGGCAGAGCTTTGGCTCGGACTTTCCTGTTTTGCGTCTGTACTCGGACAGAGGCGGAGAGTTCTCCTCTGGCCTTCTGCGTGCCTACTGTCGTGCGCGAGGCATCCGTCAGACCTTCACGCTTCCGGACTCACCGCAGCAAAATGGGATTGCAGAGCGCCGCATTGGCATGGTCATGGACGTCGCTCGTACGTATATGATGCATGCGGCTACCCCCCGTTTTCTGTGGCCGTTTGCGGTCAGGTACGCGGCACATCAGATCAACCTCCACCCCAGGGTCTCCAGGCCGGAGACCTCCCCAGCCCTGCTGTGGACGGGGAAGGTTGGCAATGCGTCCGCGTTCCGGGTCTGGGGATCTCGGGC